TGACGCATTTTAATGCCATAAATATTTATTTGATTCAAGTATTTACTTGGATAGAATAAAGTTACTTTATCGCACTGCTGATAATTTTTACCATACAGTATTCTGAATATACTTACAATATATACTTAAATATAGTAGGTATACACGGCTCAAAGTAAGCACGGCTCTCTATGCCCATTATAAATTCATTCCACAAGTACACTAAAATACTACAAGCTTGTTACTTATGAATTAAGAGCTTAGGTCATTCACATAATAAAAATTTTCTTTTATGTTTAAAGAATGTTATAGAAATTCGGACATTCTTTTGTATATTTCGGTGAATGGCTGCAATAAATATATACTGTTTCAAACATACCGGACGAGAACAAAACGGTAGAGTCATTGTGAAATTTTTATGACTTGCTAATATTGTTATTTTGTGTATGTTTTACACTGACCATACTGTGGGATCATTGTTAAAGTTGTCTCCTAAAACACGTGTTATTTAAGTATTAGTTGATCTATACATTTAAATTTACTTGCCCTTGCTGATTCATCACCTCCGAGCCTAAACCCTGGGGCTACAAACTTGAATATTTGGCAGTTGGTACTTTTTACATTGTAAGCTCCCACTAAAAAAGGATTTCAGGAAATTTCACCGCTAAGGGGTTAAAGCAATGGTTGAACTGTTGTATGGAATTTCGTCATTTTCAAAGTTAGAAACACGAAATAAGAAATCAGCCGGTGAGCCGCGGGCAATAGCTAGCATTGACAAAATTAATAACTTCTCCTTCACAGTCTAAACTAATACTGACTAGACTTCTATTCATAACACAATATGTAAGTTTAGTTCGAAACAAGGTCGACGTCGACGCTCAAAAAGACCGAGAGCTACAATTTCAAGTGAAGATAATTTTATAGTCATTACTAGTAAGCGAAATAGACGCTTCACAATGAATCTGTGCCGAAGTAAACAAATCCACGAAGCCTGTACGATACAAAAATGGTTGAAAGAAGTTCAGTTGTTCTGTCTAGTTGGCGTTGGTAAATCTCTGCTAAGGCCACAAAATAAAAACGAAGGAATGCAATGGGCTCTTGCTCGTCCAGATTGAACTGAAGAAGATTTTAAAAACGTTTGATTTACTGACGAACACGAGTTTGAAATATTCGGTTTAAAAAGAAAAAAATACTGGCGACGTAGTGCCCAGATAAAAATTATACCAGATTATTTAGTGCCCAAGAATTATGATTTTTACATAGGGTTTTGATAAAGTTGTACAAAATTTGTTTTATTCTTTTGGAATAAAGAATCAAACCCATTAAAGCAACGAAATAAACAGTAAAAATTTAACAAGCACGAGCTGTTCTGAGTCACTGCTTTGCTTTGTTCTGATTGATTGTTCTGGGCTTCTTTAAATAGCCTGTAGTAGTTAAGTAATTGATTCGCATTAGGCACAAAAGTACAGTAGCATAAACACAAAAGTACATTAGTAAGTATATTGAAAGAACACTAAAAACAATATCGTTTATTACTGTTGTTTAAAAACTATATTATTAGCAGATCGTTAAGACCACCTCTACGAATAAACCCATTGTATTTGGTTTGTTAGTGGTAAAGCATAGATATCTATGTGCCGTAAGACTGGTGAAAAAATACCACCCTTAAACAAGATGGCTGCTTTCAAAGCAGTTAGTAACTACTTATAATAACTGCATTTCATGCACACATGTTTTTTTTTAGGCTGCGGTCAAAGTGTGAAATTTCTCGTCTTTGGTTACACATATAATATATATATGTGTCACCTTTATAGTTTTCTGTAATTTTAAGAAGAATTTTATTTTCTTTTTCTTAAAGACAACGCCCGCATTAGGAATACATCCTGTGTCGCGGGGGACTTTACAAACATACATGAAACAGATACAAAGAACACCCAGACTCAGAACAACAATTTGTGGATCACACAAAGTGTCGTATTATTATCAGTCATGTGTGTTAATTTTCAAATTAAGTAGCTTGGATTCTCTCTTGAACTTGGTGAAAGCTGATTTCTAAGATACTGTTACATAGATAGACTCGTACACGATGCACGTTAACCTAATACATGTACATAACGCGTTTAAAAATTCGCTGTACTTACCATTTAACAATAAACATATTAAATTAGTTATAATTTAATATGTTTATTGTTAATCAATTTTTTTACTGGTTGCAGAAAAAGATTGATTAACGGCTCGTGTGAATTCAGATGGCTATTGTCTATGATTGATGGTCTCCGGGCTTGATCATATTCATAACTAGATTTTGTTCTCGGCTTCGCCCTTGTGTATGGTGGTTATCGCGGTAAAAAGTAGCCCATGTCCAATCAATGTATTTCAATGCCAAATTTTATTAAAATCGGTTCAGTGATTCAACCGTGAAAGCATTACAGACAGAGAGTTACTTTCGCATTTATAATATTAGCAAGAAAAAACACGTTTGCAGAACTAGTAATTCCGGAAGACATAAACGCTTGTACTTGCCTCTTATATCTGCAGAGATCCCTGACATCGATACCTATAACTATACGTTCATTGTGTAAGTGTCTACCGACTACAATCTTGCCCTGCATCACGTTCACGAAGACGCTGGCCTTATGAACAAAGTCATAATTGATCTAAAGAATGGACTTATGATCAGTGGAAGGATCAACTTGTGGTCAAAGTAAAAATTGTTCGAAATCAAGAGGCCCCATGATCCAACTTTAGAAGACTGAAGGTTGTTAAAGGTAATATCATGGCACTGCGCTGCAAAGGCTGCAGAATATCTTAAGAGGACACTGTACAAATAAAAAACCCCTACTTTTAAATTGTTAAGATAAATCTATACTAATTTTGTAAAGCTGAAGAGTTTGTTTGTTTGGTTGAATGCTCTAATCTCAGGAACTACTGTTCGAATTGAAATATTCTGTTACTGTTGGATAGCCCATTTATCGAGGAAGGCCATAGGCTATATCGTCCCCGTGGTGGTTTTGGCAATATTGACTTTTCCCTATTTTCAAAACACCTAAAACATGCCGCATATTTGAGCCTTACAGGCATTTTCGTATCTTATTCCATTCCAAAAATATAGCCATTTTTGTCGGACAGATGGAATAATAAATATCTTCAGACTAACACAATTTTTTTGAAGGAATAATAAATAACTCTGTAAATAAATCAATAACTGTGGTCAATGATAAGTTAAATGGCAAATAAATTAAATAACATACTTATTTTAAGTTTTTCATAGTTTTACTTACTACTTAAGTATGTCGTTTGTTATTATTAGGTCTCTGATTTTAGAGCCTTATTGTTATTTTTTGGGTTTAAATTATTCTCTGTCTTGATTTGAAAGAATACTTTAAGTTAATTTGTTTCCACTTGTTATAATTGCTATAATTTTGTTTATTTTTTAAGTTTGTGGCAAGATAAATATCTGTTTACAGTACCCTTTTTTTTAATTTTATTGTACTTTTATATTTCTTCCAAAATATAACTTTATTAATATCATAATACAGCTTTTATTTTATATGAGACCAATAATAGTTAAAAATATCAAAATAATGTAAAATACAAAGCCACTAAGTTTTACATTTAAAAATATTTCGAGTTTGATAAATTCAATAACTGCATTTATTTCACCAAATTTTACTCTACCAAATGGATTTAGCTTGTAGGAAAACTAAATAAATAGCCGAAATAAGTAGCTAATTGTAGTTACGTTATAAATAATAGTTGTGGTAAAATTAACAACTTGATTTTTAATGTTTTATTTTGTTATAGTTAAAGATAGAGTTCAGTTTGTTAAAGCAAAATATAAAAAGTAATCAGGTCCACAAAATATAAAATTACTGACAGTAAAATTGTCTCACATTTTTTAACAAATGTACATTAATTAAAGAAAACCCACTGAATCGCGTTTATCTCAGAACTACAAAATCATAGTTATTTAATTTTTCAACTACGGGGACGATATACCATCATGGTACCACCATTAGTAGCAGAGCATAAACGGAAAATGGGAGACGCAGACGAAGTTGACGAATAAAAGTGTGTAGTGAGATGATAGTATTTACTCTTTCTTAAAGGATGAAAATCGATATTATCGTATATCATAGTAAGGTTTATCATAGTTTCCTAATTTTATAATGCAACATGTGTGTTTATTAATAAGTTTAATACCTCTTAAAAATATAAAATGGCAGAATGCTGGTTGAAATTACTTTTATGTACTACCTTAAAAAAATATAATGTTTAAGTATATATGTAATTATGTATTTTTTAAATCATAATAATAATGTGATTTGACAACTTCATAAAACTTTATAAAACTTATTTCATAAAACTTGTTACACAACTAAAAAGTAGGTTGTTTATATTTTTCATTAAATCTTTGTTTTAGGTTGTTAAACCTTGTTACTAGGTTCCTCTTACTAATGATTTACGAGTATAATAATATAATAATACCTACCACCTATTTATGCAGATTTCGGCTATGTATTGAAAAAGTAATAATTATTATTTTACATTGTAAATAAATAAAAGAACCAATAATTATTTTCACAAATCTCACAATAATTACAAGATGCAATAGAAATATATGTATGCAATGTATATTTGAGAATTTTATTCTGAAAACTTGGTAAAAAATTAACAAGTTTATTGCCAAGAAACATTTTTTTATTATGAAACAAGGCATACGAAATACGTAGTAGGACTACAATGGGGAGATCAGAAGTGGGGTGGGGTGCGGCGTAAAGTCCGGCGTTCCGATACATACAGGCTACAGCCCTACTTTATTTACTCTGTCGTCAGACCGCTCCTCGAGCGGCTGTGTGCTACAGTGCGCGTGCGCTCATAACCCTCGTGTTACGTTCAGACTTTGTAAACAAACTTGTACTTTAAGTGGACTACATATTTTTGCTTGATTAAGAGCTATTAGCAGTTATTTAACTTTTATTACGGACGTTGGTGAAAACCAAGTGCTATCTGTGCTCAAAATGGATTTGTCCTGTGAAGAAAACATGCAGAATTCCGGAATTAGTGGAAGCGGAAGAACAGTAGACATGTGTGTCGCTGGTCCAGATCGGGCCTTAGACCGCGACCCTCGACTTCTTCTAAACCTGCTGACTTTGGAAAGATCACACGCTCTTCACACAGACTACTTTCAGAATGTACAAATTGATATTCAACCTTTCATGAGGAAAGTAGTGACAACCTGGATGTTAGAGGTACGGTTATTTAGACTTTCTATTCTTCGTAATTGTAAAGATATAAATACTGTTTAGTAAATAGTCTACAACGTTGACGGTGGGATGATGACAAGCGGTGTGTGAATGAGGCCAGTTCACCTCTAACAGCTGATTGAAGTGAATGACCTTTTTCTTAAGTTTATTTACGTAGCGACCCCACATGAAGTCAAATATTGATAATAGTACTAGATTATATGCATATCTTATCGAATAGTTGTAAATAGTTTAATATGAATGTCAATTATCTACTAATCATTAAAACTTTTAAAACATTTCTTGTTGCGGGTAGATGTAAATAGTAGTAATTTCATAATTTCTACAACTTACTTCATCATATAGGTATAATATCATTGGTGTGTCAATAAAATAATGTTCTTGACGTCTATTTTAAAAACCATTCATTATGTCTATGTAAGATACTTGAAGTCTTCCAAACTATATTCTAAAGAAGTCATTGTCACTGTTGTTTAACATTTTAAAAGAAAGCACAACAAAAATATTCCAGTTCTGAATGCTCTTTGATGGGCCACTAATTTACGCACCAATGACAATGACCCCAACCCATCATTCCATCGTGACGTAACTGTGAGAGCCTAAATCTATCGTACGCTAACGCATACACCGAGAAATTACTCTTCGTATTTTAAAGTGAAAGTTTCAGTTCGGTTTCTGTAAGAAAAAAGTTATAGGCATGGTAATATTTGTCCTTTCTTAACATTGTTCAAAATATACTTTAATTACAGGTGTGCGAGGAACAGCAATGTGAAGAGCAGGTGTTTCCTCTAGCTGTGAGCTATATGGACCGGTTTTTGGCTCATCGCGCAATATCCCGCCAGCAACTCCAACTTCTTGCAGTCACATCTATGCTGCTCGCATCCAAGTTCCGTCAGTGTCACCCACTGTCAGTAGATCTACTTTGCGCATATACAGACAATTCTGTGTTGCCTCACGAAGTTAGAGTAAGTTATCTATTCCTATTAAAATAGTAAATATAAGGAATAAATCTTAATATTACCTTATTTTTTTGTTTTTCATCACTTTCGGATTGGGCTAAACCTTTCCACTACTTATATTTTTTTATAATATGTAAACGTGTTATAAGATAAAAGGTTAAGGTCAATACATAAAACACTTGAAAACGTATACCACGAACGCACATTTTAAGCACACGTGGTTTCTCATTTGGTATCATTTACTTACATTATTAAATCTCACATATTAGGCTTCGCTATCAAGTATCCCTAACTCTCTAAAAATACCATAATTTAAATACTTTATAGCAAATAATATGGCTTCCAGTTATTAGCTAATGAATATAGCAAGGCACTACCTACAAACGTTTTAATTTTAATATTTTTACACTTTTATCTTAATCATCAGATTGGTAATACTTTCAATTTTACTATGGGTATTTTTCTCTTCAGTACCTAATTAATTCTTTAAAAGTCATATGTATAGTTACAACTTCTATATTTATTTTGAAAAAAAAGTGGCTATATTATTGCGTCCGGTAGCATATCCTGTCTTGGCAATAACTTAATCGTTGCTTTGATTGTATTGTGAGTGAACTCGATTGGTCGAGTCAAATGTCACTCCTCCACCCCCTACGCTATGTTTCCTTGTAACACGGTGAATTTCCGGCAATTACACCTTCCTCAAGACACACAAGAGGGCCACTAAGACTTTGTCACCCTTCTTATGCAAGCTATGGCCTGTGACGAAGTAAGGCACTGAGTTATTGTCCATTTACTTCCGACGGAAATGAGGGCATAAGATACGCTACAGTGCCAGGTTCAAATTAGATCTAATTAAAGGAGAACATTTGTCTTTTAATGAAAAGAGGTTGTTGCACTCAGTTATGTAGATGTCATTCAAAACGCGAAGGACATTCAAAACATCGGGCCTTACTAAAAGTAGACTCGTAATGGTGAACTATTTCCCACAGTGTGGTCATAATGACAAAATTGTCATAATTGTTCACACCCGTATGGACAGGTGCGATTCGTTTGTTGGTTGTTCTTTGTAATCAATTTTGACTTAGTCACCTTTCTCTCACGCCTTTACCGACATTTATGTGCTTTTACATTTTGGTATTTAGACATTAACTAAATAGAGTATTTTACCAAGTAACAAAACACATTTGTCTAAGTTTTCTTCATAGATCTTGTGGTCGGAAGTGTTTTGAACTTCCCAGAAATTAATGCATTTAAATTATTCATTCACCATCTGTTTAATTCAAAAGGAACCGTGAGAATGTGTGTTGTCCTTTACGCATATGACACCGTCGATGGTGGTATTTCCTTGCAATTAAATTCTTGCGATGATAGCGATATCAGGCCATCGTGAATACTTAATAGTGTCATATGGTACGGGGTCGAGTGTATCATTTTTTCCCATAGGCACCGACCACGGTGTAAGACTTGAGGCCAATTATTTAAATATTAACAACTTCTCACGGAACTATTTAAATATTTTGGTCATCAAAATGTATATTAATTATGCACTTGGTATGTTTATTAGGGATCATATGTAATTTAATCAATTATTTTGCATAACTGTGTGTTCTTTTAATATATTGAACTTGATTAAGTTTCAAATCTTTGATGTTAATTAAAAAGAGCTTACTACATGCTACTGTTACATGCCGTACGTAAACACCGATAGATAAGTTTAACCCGCTGTCTGGCGATGGAGAGTATTATTAAAAGTTTAATGAACTTTAAACCAGTGATAGTTCCGTAGAGGTGGTCATAAACGATGGTCTTTATTTCTATCTTATCAAGTTTATGTTTTAGTGGCGTATGTAAACAAGCTTTTATATTAAATTACTGCCTGTAGTATGTCGGGGGCCATGTGAAAATATCACTAGTCGAGGGTTCTTTTGTCCCTACTGTTTCCTTATGACATTTCTACAGTAATCGTAATGGGATTCGCTACTTTTTTGCGGTTTCCGGTGATACATCAAGTATGACGGTTACGTATGAACTGTTAAGAATAGGTCGCACATCCCTCTTTTAACGTAATACGTGCAAGAATTAAGAGAATATTGTTTATTACATTGTAATAAACAATTTTCATAATAAATTCATAAATAAACATAATTATATTGTAAAATGTAACTCGTAATATTTATTTCTTTTGCTGTAGCAATGGGAATTGATGGTCCTTCAACGATTGAACTGGCAGTTGTCTATCGCAACGGCGTTTGACTTCGTTGAGCCTTTCTTGGCGCGAGTACCGTGGGGTCGAGCTAACCCCCTGGTCAGGACACATGCGCTTACACTCACATCAGTATGCTATACCGGTAAGTACACATTTTTATATTGAGTTTGTTTTACTTATTTCAGCAGCCATAAATGCCTTTTAAAAGTTATGTAACATGCGGGCGAAACTTCCTGTTATCAAAATTAACATTAATCGATAAAAGCGGACGCCGTTCAATTTTTTTACTAATTTGTTTGGTTTTTAGTTTAATGATTATGTGAGAGCATCCCTTTGTTTGAAAATGTGATTGTAGTGGGCAGGACAAAACGCTGTATGAGCATGTGGGGTGTGTTGTGTAGGGCAGTGGACGCGTGTATCGGAACGCGCACATGCCGTTTGCGCAGTGATAACGCGCACACCTTGCGTCCATGCACCCCTCTGACCAGTGACCCTCTTGCACTCCTATTGTAAATACACTCTAGTGACCTCACTTACTTATTTAAAATTATGCCATAAATTTTTAAATGAGATGTGATATTAAAATCTGTCAGAGTTTAAAATCCTTTGTTAAATATGTAAGTTATAACGCGTACACATGCCTTGCGATAAATTTTTAAAGCATTTTACTTACCTTAACGACATAGATACCTAATTATTTTATTGTTCGTAAGTCGTTAAACCTAAGTGCCCTTCAGGAATTCATTATAATGGTACTTTGAATGATAGGTAGGTATAAAAATTTACAAAATTAGCACCGTGATCGTATATTCTAGGGCCTTCTCTCCTTTCATGTGTAAGTAAGTATTTTAAATGTGTTGTTTCATTTCACACCGTCGCGTTAGCTCTATGTGTTACTCAGGTGTACTTGCAATGAGGTACATAATAATATGTACTACATCACCACTGACCAACAGTAATCCCTTGACATTACCTTCCTATAAGGGTTACGCTTTTCAGATCACTGAACACGGTAAAAAATGGTATTCCTATTTAGCTCATTGGATTTACTTGACATTTGAAACTTAGCCATTAAGAAATAAAAATATTTGTGGACGAGGACGTATATTTGATAGTAGTTATCTATTAAAAAAGTATTGCGTTAAGTAAATGTTATTACAAAATTATCACGTTTCTTATTTAAATAAAATGTTATGTCAAGCCATCTTATAATAAAATTAGACAGTTCATTTATTCTTAAAGTAAGAACCAAGCCTTACGCGAATAACCATATATCTAATATTATGTTAAAATTATGTACTACCTTTAAAAACAAAAGAACCAACTGTAAAAGTATCATTTATTCAACTTTGAAACATGCAGATTAATGCATTATACATATACTTTATAACAACCCTGTATAATTATTCTCTATCAGTCTAAATTATTATTCGAAATAAATAGCATAGTATAATGTGTACCTAAGTCATACCACTAAGTAGGTAGGTAGGCAGGTAGCACTATGATATGAATTCTGTGAAAACATTTCTTAAGCTTTCTTAGAAAACTATTCTATACTAACTTTTTTCTTTAAAATAAGGGTATTCTAAAACAATGAAAGTAAACAAAATCTATGACAGGGATGCAAAAAGGATTATTCCTTTAAAAAAACTTTAAAATTTTTAATGGTCATTAATGCTAGTTAAATGGACGGGTGATAATATTATTTCTTTAGCTTTACTTCCATTATAAGCCTATCTTTATCTTGTAATGGTATTTTTAACTATTGTTGTTCACGTAAACATCCAAAGGAATCCTGGTATTTAACCCTGTCCGCCCCTATGGTCCATTGAATCCCGATAAGGATTATTTATAGCCCTCAGTTACTTCCCATTTGTCACCGACCATTGTTCTATCAGCTCTTAATTTCAAGTTTTTGGGCGCATCTGTTGGTCAGTAATGATAGCCGAAAATTTACTTAATAATTTAAAAAACGTTTTTATTCTTATTAACGCAAATAAAACTTAGGTAATAAAACTTACTAATAACAAATATATAATAAGTTCAAAGTTTTTTCTCTCACCAGTAATTTTGTATTTTTCTCTAATAAATGAACATAGAACTACTACAGTTTTATGTAAGTGATTATTTTGCCCTTTTTTGAATATCGTTAAAGTCAGTAATATGTGCATTTCTTGAATTTATGTTGATGGATTATGATAGTTTCGTGTTAACGAACCTTGCTAGGGTGTAGTCTGCATTAGTGACAAGTATGATTAGGAATAAACTTGCTTCATAATGAGTCTTTCATACTGCAGTCATAATGTAAGAAGGTACACACATTAGTAAGCAGATTTAGTGTATCTTCTTATGTTTAATTTTACGTTAATAAATTGTTTTTGTATGTATGATATGTAGTATGTATGTATATGTAGTTAATATAATTATGTAAATGTGAATAATAAACGTCAGGTTTGATCGATTTCCGATCGAAAGGGTCTGTGAAGGAGGCGGAGGATTAAGGAGGCTAGGGCTTCCCCGTATTTGCTGAGATTATTTGAAAGTTCTTAGTTTGACTAGGTATCTAAAAAACCACATTTGGTTACAGGGTTAGACTAAGGGAGCCTAGAGATTTTGCAACTTATGTAAGAAATCGTATTTCAAATCTAATACATAAAATTCTCGTGTCACGGTGTGCGTAGTTGAACTCCTCCGAAACGGCTAGCCCGATTTTCGTAAAATTTAGTGTGCATCCGGCCAACATCTATTTTTTATACCCCCAATTTTATTTTTTTTGACAAAAAAATTTGAAATAATGTATATGGCAAAACAACGTTTGCCGGATCAGCTAGTTGTTTTATATTAGTAAGCATTTGAAGTGTCGCAGATAAAAGCTGGTACAGATTGTAAATAGAATAACAAACATTATATATTTAATGACTAGTTTTAAATTTAAACGCCCTACAATAATAGTAAATTGAGTAGTTGAATTAAAATATAAAGTAACGAAAACGATCGGTAAATATATAACACTTGTATAATGTATAATTCGTAAGTTATGCACTATTTATTATGTAGATTTTCACTGTACACAATATCGGGTCAACTATCAGTTACAACGATTAACTATTGTATTGTAAACAAAAATATTACGTGTAGCTGGGCTGGGCGTAAGTTTCGGTCGGTGTCGCCGGAAGCGGTATAATTGCCGGTAACTGATCGTGCATTACTCGAGGTGTGAAAGGGTTAATAACATTACTTGACCCCCAAACTTCCTTCATCTTTTTTAATTTGGGCTTAACGGCTCACGATCACTTTCTTATTATTTTGTAAGCTTTTTCAAATATTTAAAACAATTACAGTTCAAGTAGAACTTGATGCTAATTTTCTACCGTATTTTTGTTTCCTTTTGTGTTCTTAACAATTGAATTACCCGTTAAGAGTGTTTATTATATTTTTATTGTTATCTTTTATTTTAAATTCTGCAGAGCAGATAACTGTAGTTTTTTTTAAAGCCCTTTTTTCGCAAAATGGCTTTGTTTTGTTATCGTAATCTCCATTGTTTGGTGAACTGTAAATATCTTCCTTTGGAATGAAATACCCATCCTTGTATTATTATTCGAAGTTGTTGAATTCCCAGTAAACGCGATACGTACAGTTTGACCGGACTAATTTCAAGGAGTCGTGTCATGGTTACGGTGACTTATGGGACTAGTCGTCGCGAACGCAGGGGAGCGACCGCGACAGCTGACTCGGGCACAATACACGAAGACGTCTCGCATCCATTGTTTCGCACCCGATTCTCTGTCCCAAAGTTTCCACAAAAGCCTCGCGACAAAGAGGTCGTCTCGGTGCGCACCTGGCGATATACCACCCTATCTACCCAATACTTAGACATACACATCATCTCAACATACAATCATAAGGTATAACCTTGCCAGATTTGAGCTTCCGTTTTCAACATCCGATTCGTAAAAAAATCGTGTACCTACCTCTTTTAAAAACCTACATTAAATTTTTTGATTTATCCATAGAAACATGAAAAAAGCTGTACAAGTTTGTATTTAAACAGTTAATATCCGTTTTTGAAGATAGCATATTATAATAATAATAATATTCGCCATAACGCTCGCAACCAGTTTGCAGCACAATTAGATGAACTATTTGCAACCCCTGCGTTTTTGCATTCCGTTTGTATTAGGTTAGGATCCACTATTAGGGTGGGACTGTGGGACTGACAGGTTTTTCAAACGGAACTTAACGGTTACCGATGTCTGTTGAGTGTATGTCATTACTGACTTGTAATAATTAGAAGGGTAAGACGCGGGGGTGTGAGGTCTTAGGCCCGATAGTCGCGTGGTCGGGTCGCCGGGTCAGCAGATGTCGGCTCCAACTGACGGGCAACCTGTCGCACAACGGATTGTGACGCACCGCTGCTCATGCTGACCAGATCAAACCTGATAAGCGGCTCACGAATATTTTTGATTTTTAATAAGCCACAGGTTTCAACTAACGTATACTCAGCATATTTTCCTGCCCAGCATTTTAAAGACAATTGGTAAATTATTGTGATAAAATTCTGAGTATAATATGTATTATGTTTCTTAACTTATAATATCTTGTTCTAAGAAAAAGCTAATCTAACCAAGATTGACCTAAAGGTAAATGAGCTAGTAAGCTTAAATTACACCGCCATTAATTAAAATATGTTATTTTTCTTATAAAAATTACGACGCGTTCGCGTGTGACGATAATGTTTTTCTTAAGAAATAGACACGTATAAGGGCACAGTAGAGTAAAGAAGGGTGCATGTAGTAGGTGGGCAGTGACCCTACTTAGGACCATGCTCCCGTCGCGAAGGTGCGAGCGGAAGGGTCGCGCCAGGTGCTCTCACATCTGCCGTCTTCGACTGACGTCGATGTACACCAAAAGTGACTTAAACGTAATATCGTATGGACTTGTGCCGCTCCGTTGGCTTTACTGTTAATAATATCGATAAAATTGACAGTAGTTAATAATTATTTTTAAATCTTTGATTTCTTGTAATGCAGATGAAAATTAAAATTGTGCAAATTGTATCAAGATTTGTAGACGAATTTATTAGTCGATTTGCAATCGAAGTTACACTTTCAAAATCACACAATAGTTCCCTTCGTACAAGCGAAATGCAGCTGCGCCCTTACCTAGACGACTTAAGATGTAAATTGCCATTATTGGCGACCCATTGTCCCGGAGTAGGTACACACAAAGATGGAGACGGGGACGGAATGCACAAATCGGGCAGCTGTTCAATTCTCCTTCCTTATTCTCAAATTATAACAAAAGAGTTCTCGTATTGTGCAAAATGTAACGCGACTTTTTTTAGACCCCTGTTGTCGAAGATGGAAACAATTTTTGTATTAACCATCAAGGATTAAAGTCAGTGACAAACGTAATCAACTATGAGTAGATTGTCTTAAACTTAGTCAGTCTGTGTCTTAAGATTTTAATAATGTACCTACGCGATCGCATTTGATCGAGGAACGGGATGCAATGCAAGGTGTCTGAGCCACCTGTCTGCACTCCGCGGCAATTATCTCACAACAGATGCGAACCTCTCTACCTGCGACTCGGCTGCGGTGTAACAATATAAAAACATAGTAAACAACAAACTCGTTTAAAAGTTAACCTCGTTTGTATTTTAAGAACACGCCGACACACACATACCTACAATACTACGCCCTACAATATATATATATATATATATAAATATAATGCGAAAACAAACAACTGGTTTATACTGTATTTTTGTTTGTCAACAGAAACCGAATTCCTCTTGGTGCCACCGTCTTTGATCGCTGCGGCTTGTATTACAGCAGCAGCTCGAGGATTGCGAGTAACTATGTCGGTAAATGAGCTGTGTGCCCTAACTAAAACTCCAGCCGCAGCTGCCGAACTCGTGGCCCGTCACGTTGAGCGAGTGTTAGCCAGGGAAACACAGCCACAAGAACCTAGAACAAGGCACACACAACCGTACAAGCAAACCACGCCGGAACAGACACAACTTTCAAACACGCCCACTGACGTACAAGATGTGCGCTTTTGATAAGTAAGCTTATTTGAAATTTAAACTATTTATCAAACGAATGCTGCAATGGTTGCAAAGGCCTTCGTAGTAAGATGCACAAAAATTAAAATAAACTCGATCAAAAGATGTCAGAATTCAGTGGTTATGGCTTTATTGTCATTTTTGATATCACTAAGCGTAGACCAAACTGTAGTATAAAATATACCTTTTGCAACGATGTCACAGTTTGTACAATATTCTATGAAGCGTTGTGTAGGAGAATGAATCGTTCATTGATCTCAAAATATTTATGTGAAATAAACATTAGAGTAGGTTAATGTTATTTATTGTAAAATAAATCCATTTATGTTAGTTGTATAGGTACAATTTGTTCGACTGTACATTGTGAACGAATTTTGTGCTTTTTGATCTCCGTTAATTCCAAATGTTTTGAAAGACTGAAAACAATCGAAGTCAGTGTTTTACTTCACAATTAAAAAGAAAACCACACGGTGAATACCAGGACCAAATTTAGCTAAATCAAATCTAAGGAGTTAGGCCTTAATATGATGTTTTTATAGTTTTGTATGTCACCTGTGTAATTAAATGTAAGATCTCAATTTGTAGTCGACCTTAATGATCAATCCCTTTTCGTGGAGGGAAGTGTATGTAGTATTGCTAATATGAGTGAAAATGTTGGATGATGTAATATTTATTTAGGTCGATGTTAAGTTTTAGTAAATTCTAGTCAAACGTTTTACACATTCCTGTTTTCGACCAAACTTGATGTTTTAGATTTTAGATGTTTAGTCTTAATTTGTATAAGTATTATTGTGTAAGTAATTACTATGTATGGCTAGTTCGTTTGGCAAATTGTTGGTGAAGACAGAATACTCATCAGTGAGACAATAGTGTTTGTACTGTTAGTTAATGTATAGTAAATTGAATTTCCTCGCGTGTAATTAGTATATAACTGTATTTATTGAGTGGCAGGAGGTCGGCGGGAGAAACTTGCTTGTACCCAGTGTAAGTGATAAAGCGGCGCGCGCGGAGTCGACGAGCGTTACGTTACGCCGCGTTCATTATACTAATTGTAATAAATTAATGGGCGAGCTTTCAAGTTTCTCTCCATCGTCTCGACCGAAAGAGCTTTCACATAACTTTAAAAAAATATATATTCATGCAAGCGCATAATATTTAAAATTACTTTGAATTGAAATTAGACAGCTCATGAACGTCAGCTTAGGGTGCGCTTGAGAATCTAAAGATCTTATCATATCATACATTTCATTGTTGGTATTTAAGTAACATTTTGTTTATGAGTTGGTTACAATAGCATATAATAAGTAGAAAAAACGGTACCTAAACCAAGCCAATAGTGTTAGATTCAAATGATACATTACAATATTAATGGAAAATAAGAATCAAATTGCTAATAATCTGTTAAAATTATTAATTTACTGATTCACCAATATAATCCAATATCACACCAATACCAATATACTCACCAATATACCAATATACAATCAACCATAGATTCATAGCAGTTACAATATTTTTTTTTGTTTTCAAAGCGAGGTACCTAAAAAAGACAGGCAACGGAAATACTTATATCTAGGATGTTTGTTTATAGTTTAAGGTTTTGTTTATTAGATCCAATGTGTTTAGGTACTATAATTATGCCTATTGTAAACAAAGTATATGTACAGCCTATTTTATAGGTAGACCATTAATGTATATTTTTAAAATAAATACAACCCCAAATAATTTAATCTTTTATTACATAAGTCGGCAAAATGGGCATGGATCGGGATAATGTGTAGCCCAAAGACCAATGCTATAATAATCATATGTCATCATGATATATACATATGATATATGATGATATATACATCATAATTAGTTACGCGTTTTCTTATTCCACTGCATTTCACATCACATTTTGAGTAGTTGAACAGCAAGTCTGCGTTACTTAAAGACAACTATCCTAGTGTCTCACTCTAATAAAGCAATAAATGTCTCCAGAAACGAGACCATTACTGACGCCCTTGCTATTAAGCATTTAAGACAGAGGTTTCTACACCTACACTTATATAACCGAGCTAAATATACTGTTTCGAGTATAATCTGGGATTCTGGCCAAGAGTTCCTTATACAATAATAGTAATAGAGGTTGAGATTCTATTAATGTCTAGCTGGTGCCCGCGACTTCGTTCGCGTGGAATTTGAAAAGCGCTGCATTAGTGGGTTCGATTCCTGAACTTCGCAAAATTTTATAGCGTTTTTCTGAGAAAAAATAACCTAAGTTACTCCTTATATATACAGCTACCTAGTTGTAAGATTCAAAATCTGTACAGCCGTTTTAAAGATTACCCGGAACAAACACAGACAGACGGACAAAAAATATGGTATAGCTATAGGTATCGTGCAAATAACTGTGTAAACATGAAAAAACCTATTATTTTGACATTACAAACAGACATTTCAATTTTATTTATTTATTACTCGTATATAGATAGATTACTCGATGACTACCTAGTTTTGCGAGCACAGAAGGTAAGCTAAAAGAGCGGCGCAGGTGTGAAATCTTCACATTTTGTAGTATTTTTCTGTCAAAAAAGAGTGTAACTGATATTTTTAAGAGATTTAGTATAAGTGTTATGCAAACTTTAGTTAGAGTCGTGTGATCTCGTCTAAAAATTAGCTAGACACTATAAACACCTGACTAAATATACATTATCAATGGTGCAGTTCTTTCAAAAGAAACACGAACTATCTTAATAATGGAAATTTAGCCAGGAAAGTCGAGAGAAAAAGAGGAAAATGTAGTGGGGAAAATTATTTAGCATGATACTTGAGGCGCCGGGGGGTGGACCACGACATGGCCCATGGAATAAGAGGGCCTCCGTCTTATCCAGGGCAACCCGTAAGCCCAGCGCCTCAATTCGCCCGACCACCAGAGAGACTCCCCTGGTGGCCAAGCGCGCCGCCTCTTGAAAGTTCGCCCCCCGGGCTGTGACCAATGTATCATCGGCGTAACAAATTACACCCAGCCCAGGGGGAAACTCCACTCGAAGGGCCCAGTCGTACCCTATGTTCCACAGGAGGGGTCCAAGAACAGACCCCTGAGGAACACCGCACGACATGGGCCAACACCTCAGATTACCAGTCGATCCTCGTACTCGACGGTACGCTCCTCTAAATAGTCTGCCACTAGCCGCCTCAGGGTACCCCATGAAGTGTAGTGCTTCCCTGATGCAGCTGAATGGCAGACTATTGAATGCGTTGGCGATGTCTAATGACACCGCCAACAGCACGCCGCCACAGCTCACCGCCTCTTCGGTCACGGCCCTCAGGCGTAGCACAGCGCCCACCGTCGAACGCCCCACTCGAAAACCGAATTGGGCGTCCGACAGGTCCGGGCCCACCTCGTAGAGGTGGCGGACGATGCGGGCAGAGAGCACCCTCTCAAACAATTTACCCGCCTCGTCCAGCAACACAATGGGCCTGTAGGCCGCGACCGAATCGTCAGGCCGTCCCGGCTCCCTCAATAGGACCAGCTTCCCGCTCTTCCAGCACTCAGGAAAACGTCCAGACACCAAGCTAGCGTCGAACACCTCCCTGAGGCGGTCTGCCATGTGGTGAAGGGCTAGGGCCAGTACTCGGGCCGGTATCCCGTCTGTCGCAGGGGCGGTGTTCTTGGAGAGGATCCGTAGAACAGCCGCCCCTACCTCCGAATCCCGGACGGGCGGAACATCATTAACGTTCTCTCCGTCGTCGACGGCCAAGGTAACCATCGACGGGGGTATGTGTTCCACCCGTTGCGGGAATAGGCCCTCCACCACTTCCTGCAGGAAGCTGGGCTGGAGAGTCTCCGTAAGGGGGGGGGGGGGGGGGCCGACGCGCGGAGCTTTTGTCGCACCGCGCGGTAAGGGCGACCCCAGGGGTCACGATCGAGACCCTCCAGCATCTCCTTTCTCTTTATCTCTTTGGCGCGGCTAATGGCCAGCTTCAGAGTTTTCCGCGCCTAATTTCTGCTATTGCCTACATTGACCTAAAGATGAACTCGAACTGGCTGAAGAGTCTAATACCATGAAGTCATGGATTGTATATCTATGTGAAATCAGGTAATATTTTTAGATTGGATTTTCAAGCAGTTTAGATTTTTAATTCGTTTAGCGTGTTTGAGAAGAAGCTGGCAAAAAAGTCACTTGACAAATTTTGTTTGTAATTAGTAATTAATTCATTACTAATAATAATTAGTAATGAAGTAATCACTAATAATACTAATTACTAAGTTAATGATATATGTACCAACAGCATAGCATACATAATATAATGAGATTTAGCACCTATTATTATTATAAATACGAAATCTAATTAAGAGTTAGTAACTGTTAAAACTATATTATAACTTACGATTTTTTTTTTCGGCTACAGTCGTCTATCTTCGCTTTTCTTCTGGTTATTTGTTTTTTCTGTGTGCAAGGGACTGGACATTATTAGTGGACACGTATGAAAATCATTAAAGAATACCGGAAGATATCTGTGCCTCGACGTCCAGACCAGACTTATTGCTTTATGCAATTTCAATTAAGCGTGTAGTACTAGTAGAACTCACGGTGCCGTGGAAAACGAACATCCCTAAAGACCACGCTTAAAAAAAACAACTACTTTGACTTAACCAACGAAATAACTAAAAATGTTTATGTCGTTGCGTTGTATGCCGTGAAAGTGGGTGCGAGGGGTATACCAGCTAAATTCCTCTATAACTTGCTTAAAGACATTAGACTGCCAAGAGCTTCTCTTCGTAAGCTCTTTTCTGGAACGAATAACTAAAGCGGCATTGTTAGGCTCGTATCAAATATGGTTAGGTAGAGGGGGTAACACGGCAGACAGTGGAGGTGAGCGCTGACGCGTCGCAAGGAGTGCTCCCTAAACCTATACCTGGGTCGCAAGTCCCAGGCGCTGTCGAAGTCGCATGTGTTGGATAGACCCGGCAACCGCATGATGAATCCATGGAATGCTAAGAAATAGGT